AATTTTGTGACGGATCCCTCAATCCACACTACACAGCAAGGACAAATCTCTGCTTTAGCTATATGTTGACAGCCTGCTTCTGACAGCTGTCAAAATATGTGAGCAGCAGCTGCATCTGTTGCAAGCGCCATTTGGCCAACAATTTTCTGCACTTTTCAGCCTTTCAAGGATTGTTAAATTGGAGGATTATCAATCACATTACGCAAACCTGTCTACAGTTTTTAAACGCTGCATTCATCCATTCCTGGAAAGGAATGTGAATACTCAAAGCCAAACCAAAGACAAAAAGGAAAGTGCAACAACGATTAGTGATCCCAAGAAATGCAGACATTACCAAGGGCATAGAAATATGGGAATGAGTGAATATATATATATATATATATATATATATATATATATAAATATATATTTTCACTCATTCCCATATTTCTATGCCCTTGGTAATGTCTGCATTTCTTGGGATCACTAATCGTTGTTGCACTTTCCTTTTTGTCTTTGGTTTGGCTTTGAGTATTCACATTCCTTTTTGTCTTTGGTTTGGCTTTAAGAGTATTCACAAAGTTCTCACCAATTCTGAATCTTCATCTCCAAGGTTTTCCAACCATTGCATACCTGGGCAATCTGTTGCTAAGAGAGCAGATTTCCCTGACCTTGGACTCCAGCGTCAATCACGATGCAGACCTTGGAGGACTTCAGATGACTCCTAACCTTTGAGAAGTCATCACTGATCCTGTCACTTTCGCGTGGATTACTTGGGCATTTGCCTGCTTTCCGTTCCTGCCCCAGGAGAAGTTGATGAAGTTGCAGTATTAGGTTTGGTAACTTCATGTCAGACATCATTCTTTATTGCAGAGCTGCATTTGAGTATTGGGTCTTCTGGCTTTAAATCAGTCCCAGTTGCTCAATTTCACCTCAGAACTTTGCTACTGAACATTCTCATGCCGCGAGACAAATTTAATCCTTCTCTGGACACCAGTATCCAGTTACATCCTTTAACCAAGATGTCTGTCTGTGTCTTCTGTCCATAGCCCTGTTTGAGGGCAAGATTATTCTTCCTTTACATTAGACAATTGACAGATACCAGTCTACTGGGCTAGGGGGAGAGTTCTGGATCATTTTTCTGTTCAGGTCTATTATTCTTAGGAAGGATCAGAGCTTCCAATCAACATCATGGAGTTACAAGCATGTCATCTGGTGTTACTTTTACTGGCCCACCTTCCTGACTGATGATCTGGTCTGGATACAGTTGGATATTGGTACAACTGGCTTTTAAAGCTGTTATCAGTGGGGGCAGCAGAATACTGCAGTGGCAATAGAGGCAGTCTGTCCTCTCCTGAATGGAGTTTCATTCATATCCGTGGTGCACATTTCCAGAGTGAAGAACCTAGAAGACATCATCTGGACTTGAGGAAATGGCTACTCATCAGGTGGTGGTCTGGGATATTCTGTGTATGTCTGCGTTGGGGGATGCCAGATTAGGATCTGTAAGCTTCTCAGTTCACCTGTACAGATTTGCCTCCAGGACACAGGACCAGACAACGGCTGCAGCAGATGCTCTGGTGGTGCCATGAGATCAGTATGCCCTTATTTATTCCTTTCCTCTGCCGAAATGTCAAAGGTTTGAAGTCGAGGGCATAGCAGTCATTCTAGCTCTTGACTGGCCTCCAAGAGTTTAATACGCTGACCTCGTTCCTCTGTTGATGTTTCATAACCTCTACCTGGTTGGCTAGATATCTCTGGCTTTGATTCCGTGGCTGTTGAAATCCAAGTTATGATAGATGGGCATTTCAAATTGTTACTCTGACCATTCTTAAAGCCTTACTCTAAGTTTTTTGTTACTTGAAACAGTTAATTTGGGCTATGCTAACCCATTCTATTTCCTTTACTAATAGCAGTGCCTACTGTCAACGCTGTATAAATCGCATGTGGCATCGTCTACATACAGTATACAGCACTGGGTTCCGGCAGCAGTCCAAGGGCTTGTTCTCAGAACAAAATCAAGTTAGGCTGAGTTCTGCTCAGTCATTCTCAGAAAGCCTTGTGTTTGATCAATGAACACAAGGCTGCTTCTGATTGGCGAAGATGGAGATTGCAATGTCATTCACTCGCCTTTCCACTTCAGCCAATTTAGAGGAAGCCGTGATTTGATTTTTTTTTTTTCCCCCTGTTAGCATTCAGTCTTGCTCAATTTTGTTCCAGCAGTAGACGAGGAGCTGATGCTACATACAGTTTCATTACGGACAGTGGCCATATTTCTTGGTAAAAAAATTAGTTCATTTGGGTCAAGCTGGCTCTAACAAAATATTTTCCATTTAAGATGGCGTAAAACCTGAAGTTGGTCTTTAATGCTTGTAAATTCTTACTATACTTCCCACACGATTTATCATAGAATGTGGTATATGCACTATCACAGGTGCTAGTTTATTTTCCTTTCTTCAACTAGGCGTAGAACACTTGGCCATTAGTAACGCCATGAGTCAGGTGTCTGCCCTATAGCTCCTGTTTCAGTGTTGAAATCTAAAGATCACCCTTTCTGCCTCGGGCAGGACCAGGTAACGGGACTTTATATTTGTCACTGAGATCACACAAACATAATATTAGTCTTTTATTTTATGATCCTAAAAACCACGATTCAAGATGGACACAATTTAAAAATGAATTCATGTATATAATCGTAGTCGTAGGACCAACACGCTTCACAGAGAGAGAAAGAGACTCACACAAGACTATACAAAAGACAACACCAAACTGTTTAAGGCTACCATCCAATTTCCAATCTGTAAGGTTCAAATACACAGTATGCCCCTCTCCATTGTATAGAGGTGCGCTAGCCCCATCTAACTGTTCTATCAGTGACCAAACCATAAGCTGCCTCCACAACTCCCCCACAGGACATATGCATCCCCTGCTGCATTATGGCCACAAAACATTGGTGCATCAGCATGCTTGGGCACCATTTTGCATCAGAGGATGCACATGTCCTGTGGGGAAATTGTGGAGGCGGCTTGTTGTTTGGTCACTGATGGAACAGTTAAATGGGGCTAGCGCGCCTCTATATTGGCATACTGTGTATTTGAACCGTGTGGATTGGAAATTGGATGGTAGCCTTAAACAGTTGTGTGTTGTCTTTTATATCTTCTTGTGAGTCTCAAACATATGATGGGTTGTTGCTAGGTAGCACATAAGTTTTGTATTGTTTTGTTCCTTTAAGGTTCTGTTAACATCTGTATGTTTTTGTAGGTGTGATGGGCTGTAGGTACAATGCGTTTTAAAGCCTAAGTTTTAGTCACATATTTTTTTTTTTTTTTTTTTTAAACAGTCAGCACAAGGGACAGTATTTAAAGCAAAGTGTTCTAGCTGGATTGTTTTGTTGAAATCCGAAGCTCTCTGACTCTACCCATTCTAAACCATCTTTTACATGCTTTGAAGTGCATTACCATTGTACACTTTAACTCAAATTTTGATAGAAAACCGGTTTAAAAATGCGGTATGAACAGCTCTTTATAAAGCACCAACAACACATTAAGCATACAGATGTGAACAGTCACTGGTTTGGTTTTGGAACACTACTAACTCAATGTCCCCTTCACTACTACTGGAAATCACCCTGAAGAGATATTGATTGTTTTGTGTTTTTTCATGTGGGTTAATATTGAATATGTAGTTAGACTTGAAAGGGAACAGAAAATGAGATTTGAAAGAGTACAGAAATGTGGTTTTATTAAGAAATAAAATAGTGCCCCAATAAAAATGTATTGCATACATGTTAATGGATGTTACTTTAATATCCCATTAAGGCTCAGTTCACATTGCTATGACTTGTGAGGTCCCTAGTCACTTGACATGTGCAAATCCCATGTTCATCAATGTCTTAGCACTACTGAAGTCGCTTAGACTTAAAAAAGGTTCCTGTACTACTTCAAGGTGACTTCTATCCAACTACTTATGCCCATAGACTTTAATGGAAGTCTCCTCCAAATTGGTTCCTCATCCAAATTGATGTGATTTGGATCCGACATTACATTTTCATTAGCCACAGGTAAAGTTGCATCAAAGTAGTACTCAAGTCACTAGTAAATCGCCAGGAAGCCACCTTGCAAAGTTGCACCACAAGTTGTGTGATTTTAAGATTGCAGTAGTGTGAACCGAGACTTAGAATCCATGATGCAACCTAAAACTTTTGGAACTAATATAATGTAAGGTAATGTGATAGTTTGAATTAATTCTTACCTTTTAAGAATAACCCCTTAATTGATAACTTCTGCTTGGGGCAGATATTTCCTTGACATACCCTACATATTCCCAAAGGTATTTAAATCAAGTGGGTCAACTTTCCTCACAATTTACATTTATGGTTGGAGGCACAAAATGAATGCACAGGAGGGGGGAACATTGCATATGTTTTTAAGAGTTTTGAACGCTGAAGTACTCAGCTTAAGCCTTTTGAAAACAGAGGCATACTTAGTACAAGTTGCCTTCTTGAAAATGTGCGTTATGCAGTCTTTATAATGTTTAATCCTTGTCAACATAAATTTTTCCCGACCCCTCCCCCATATGCTATTTCAGACTTCATTCACACCATACATGCAGAAAAACTGATGGGAAAAAAACGCACAGATTTCACTTGCTGAGACGCTAGTTTGCATCAGTTTCCATGCGCATTTCAGTGAGTTTTATACATTTTGAAGATTTATGCGCAGAAAAAAATCTGCACGTTATTAGTGTTGTGGTACAGGGCACATAAAAAACAATTGATTTTTTTTTTTGTGCCCTTGCAGAACGTGTGCAGAAAAACTCCCATCTATACACACTGGTGTGAATGAGGCCTTAGAGAAATGTTTCAGTTTAACAGGAATTATGTTATAAGGACAGTAAATGTTACTGTTTTTATAAAGCAATTTCCAGGTGATCACTTGATTATGAAAATGTTTCCTTTATTGGTACAGCACTATTCTTAAATAAGTTCTTGCCTGACTAAGTGTAGACATTTTATTCAACAGCAGTGAGTGGAAGAACATCTGCAATCTCAAACACTCCTACCCACAGCATTGCTACTTCCATATCCCAACCTCAGACGCCAACTCCAAGTCCCATCATTTCTCCTTCAGCCATGCTACCTATATACCCTTCCATAGATATTGATGCACAGGTAAGACAAATTGTACTATATGGCAAACTGATTTCAAAACCGTAGTATATTTGGAAAAAATATAAGCAGTTGCATTTTGTGTGAAATTGTAGCGAGAGCCCCCTCTTCCTTTTTTTTTTTTTTTTTTTTTTTTTTTTTTTTTTTTGTTGAAGATGCCACTTTAATACGGACCTTCACTCCTCTGTATCATGTAATCTTTTTGCTCTCTTGCTCTCCTTTCCCCCTCCGTGGTCTAAATTGCTAATTGCTTGGTTTGGTTTTGTTTTTTTTTTTTTTTGTTTTTTTTTTTTTTTTTTGCTAATTCTAGTTACAATTTTTTTTTTTTTTCTGTGGCCCCGCTTACCTGGCCACATTTTCATATGGGCAAGAATCATGTGTCTCTGCTCCTGCAGCCTGCTGAGGTATCCCAGTCACATATTCCAGGAGACTGCAGGGGCAGGACACATGGCATTCAGAGGATAGAGCTGGAGCGCAATGTGGGCTGGCTTTCTGAATCCAGAAGAGGCAGTTGGCTCACAGTCACTGAGAAGTACCAAGGTGGTTGCACTGGACCCAGGCTTTCACACCTGAATAATGAAGTGCAGCGAGATAGCAATGGGTATTTTGTACAGGTGAGTATGTGAAAGCAGGACAAAGCTGCATAACAGGTAAGGGTGGTCTTAAAAAAGAAAATGTTAGGGGTGAGTGAAGTTCCTCTTTAATTTCTCTTGTATGACAGTGTTAAATTGCAATATTCTATTTTATAATTGAATATTTGGATTTAAATTTGTATTGCATCAGAAATGGTTTCCTTATTTGGATGAATTTTGTGTGGTTGCAGCTTGCAGACAACTGAACGTTTTTACTAATTCCCAGTTTGTCATGCACACCAGTGGTCCAGAAGATTACACTGTAACTTCATATGTTCATGCTACATAATATGCGAAAACCTGAAAACTTGAATTCAGCCATGCAGTTCTTAGTATCAGAATAACAATTCTACCAATCGCATACAATTCATGATCAAAATAGCTGTTATGTTTTTTTTTTTTTTTTTTTTAAATGTGGCTAATTGTGTAATTAATGACTTATAATGGTTTGTGCTTTATGGCAGACTGAAAGTAATCATGACACGGCGCTAACACTTGCCTGTGCTGGTGGACATGAGGAGCTTGTGCAAACTCTGTTGGAGAGAGGTGCAAACATTGAGCACAGAGACAAAAAAGGTATGCGCTTTCATCAAATTAGATGGCTTCTTTATTTGGTATTGTGGAGATGCAAGGATTCACCTGTAGCTAAACCCCATATAACTGGAAAATAAAAGACTCACAGTTCAGATAGCTGAACAGCCAATCATTTAATATACACTAAAACTCATATTCAATAGAATCTTCTCCATGAGGGCAGTAACACTATAAAGACCTCAGATGAACTATTTAAAAAGACACATCTTGTCAAAATCCTTAACGTGCGAGACAAAGTGCTCCTTATGCTAGTAACTGTTAGAGTATGTAAACCCAACATTTCATATTCATGATATAACTGCTGTACCATTTTCTTGTATGAAAAAGTATCCTGTTCTCTTTGTATTGCTTTTTTTGTGTGAAATCCTTGGTGTTTCTGCCAGTCCATCTGCTTTCCTATTAAAAACTGAGAAGCAAAAGGACACACCATGGTCAGTTTTCTAGCTGTGCTGGGAACTTATCCTGCTCTCCTGCAATGGTCAAACTTGTCCTGACTCAACCCCCCCCCCCCCCCCCCCCCCCCCATTCCCTCCTAATTTGGCCCAGCTATTTACTGGGAAGGTCAGTGTAATGCAGTTTCTCCTTTCCCTAGTTCTTTATGCAGCTGAGAACAGAAAAAAAAGTGATCACTTAAAAAAAAAAAAAAAAAAAAAGTGGGGGGAGGGGTATTGGCACTGTTGTTTTTATATGTATACATAAATGTTTTGCCTTTTATTTCCAGTTGCAGTTGAAGGTTTACAATCACTTTAGGCTACCTTAATGCTGTATGCCTGTTCTGTTTTTTTTTGGGGTTTTTTTTTAATATTGTATTCTATTTAGCGCTGCTGTGGAAAGTTTCTGTTGCCTAATGCACAATGAAAACCGCAATCACATTAAGAAATAAACGTTTATGGATTAAATTTGCTTTAAATGCATAAAAAAAATCCTTAAAGTGTTACTAAACCCAGGCCCCTGCATTCACTGTATCAGGTCTCCCACAGTACACAGAACATGGAAGTGCAATTATTTTGGTAAATATAAACTGCTAAATACCTTTTCCCATCAGCAGTTAGAGAAGTCTTGTGACTTCTATCCATGTCCGGCAGAGCACTGGTTACATCTTGTAGGAGGAGTTTTCCCTTCTGTAGGAGGATGCAGAGCCCCTGATCTCTGTCTGAACAATGCTGATTGGCCTTGTGGTGATCACATGCACTCTTATCGGGGGGGGGGGGGGGGGGGGGGGGGGGGGAAACTCTAGTAATGCACACCAAACTGAGCATGTGCAGCTTTCCCCCAAGCCTCTGTTCTATTAGGAGACACTGGAAGAAGGGGAGGGTCAGAGGAGACAGGATCAAACATCTTTTTAACACATTGGGGAAGACTAACCCCTTAGGTTCCACAGTAAGTATAACAAGCATGCTTTACTACATATACAGACTGATTTTACAGTTGTGGATTTAGCAACAGTTTAAGGGTGGTTTCACACTGCCCTGCCGAGTTTTGACTGCAGCGTAGTGTACCCATGGTTTTGGTGCAAGTCTGCTCCACCTTTCCCGGTTCTAATATGTCGTATATGAAATATACGCTTTCAGAAATTCCACCAAAACCGAGGGACATAATAGTCTATGGCAAAACGCATTTAACCTGCACCAAAACTGTTGGTACAGTGTGAAGCCCCCTAAATTATTTTTTCCAGTTTTGGAAGGCCCCGTCTTTTTTGTTTTCTTTTTTTCCCACTGAGGTAGGGCCTAATACCCTGGTTTTCCTTTTTTGCTCTTGGCCTGATAACTTTTGCTCTGCAGGGGATAAACATACTAGTTCACCTAGCAATAACCAGTGGTGCGCTAATTAATATAAAAAAAATGAATGTGACAATATTATAAACTCAAATTAACATAAAAATACAAATTGAAGCAAGTAATGAAAATCTCATTCAAGTGAAAAAAGCGATAAAATAGTGAGTGAAGAAAAAGGTCCAAATAAGAAGAGATGTACGAAGAATTATTTTTCAATTGTGAGATTATATAACCGTTGCCTCTATGGTAAACACTCTGAAGTCAACTCTTAGTCTTCCATAATCACCATTGTCACCAAACACCACCGTGGACACAAGATGGATACTTACCAGATATGTTCAGAGAGGTCATCATGCTCTTTAGTTAATAAACCACGGTGAGAGTCATGTGCGTCAAGCCAGACCACAATAACTCAAGCTGCTCCTCAGATGACCACAAACACATGGCATATACACGCGTATTGCAATAAAAAATATGCCTTTCAGTGTAGAAAGTTTAAAAGCACCATTTATTGCATAAGAATCACACAAGCATTTAAATAGTCACAAAATGGCATGGAAAGCTCTTCCAGTAGATTCATATGTGATGACGTCACAGGGTGGGCTCCGTCTGACACATTTCTTCATACCAGACCTAAAGGGTTTTTTGTGGCTCCCTTGCCACTGCTGTCTCCTATGAAGCAGTGTGTCACCTTCCCTCAGCACTTCTGCCTTCCAGACCTCATTCTCACCACTGCTGTTCCCTAGGCAACTCCAAACACCCCACAACACTCTCTGATGCTTGCTATCTCTCTGTCACCACTTCCTTGCACAGTGTGCAGGGGTTCTGCTATACATCTGCTGGTATAAAGGAAAAGAAACCCATCTCCTAGGGTAATATTGCATTCACAGCTTCCTTAATTAAATTAATACTACTACTCACAAGTGTCCAATGACAGGCACTTATCAAAACCAAAATCACCACAGATATAAACCTTCTAGAGGCTGGCACTGATATGTTTGTGCTAACAGTTGTCTGTAGCTTCCAGTCTCACTCTTTCAGTGAGGTTCAACTGAATCTCCTCTATCACATGGAGAGCCAGAGGAACTGCAATGATTACATCTCCCATTTCAGAGTTCATGTGTTAACCCTTTACGTTAATTAAAAAAAAATTGTAACCAGATCTCAGACAATGCAGAGCTAAACATATCAGAACATTTCACATAAAGGAAATAATCAACAGGGATAAATAAAAATAATAAAATGTCCATAAATGTCCTAATGTATCTAAAAAAAAAAAAATCAGTTGTCAGAAATAAGAGTGCACTGCTTTTTTTGTAGTATTAATCTGTAAACTATGAAAATGTGTTCATCCTTCATCTTGCAATCAAGAGAAGGGAGTGTAGGCATTTCAAATGGCTCATGAGAACTCACCACTACTATGATTGCTGTAGATACCATAGTAGCAATGTTTTGACACATTTAGACTGTTTTTGTGGTAACGTGAGTCAGCAGTAGGAAGCATTGATATTTGAGCAATTTTATTTTATTAATTTTTTAATGTTCTGATTCTTTGAAACTATTAACCACTTGACCTCCAGAGGATTTACCCCCCCCCCCCCCCCCCCCCCCCCCCCCTTAATGATCAGGCCTCTTTTTGCTACTCGGCGCTGCACTAATTCAACTGATAATTGTGTGGTCATGCAATGCTGCACCCAAACAAAATTTACATCCTTTTTTTCACACAAATAGAACTTTCTTTCGGTGGTATTTGATCACCTGTACGCTTTTTATTTTTCACGCGATAAACAAAAAAAGTCCAAAAATTTTGAAGAAATGGTATTAAATTTAGTAATCTGTAGGCCCTGGTTGAATTTGTATGTCTTATCTCGATCTCCTGAGACTTTGCACCACCTGTGCAATTTTCTATAGCAGAGGACTCTTCCCTGTCTTATGAGACCCCCTCATGATATCCCTGTAATCTTGTGGTCAAGCTGAGCCCTATCTTTCTGAATATAAGGATTCCCTTTCCTGGGGATCCTTATAACAATGAGTCCTTCTGTTCCCACCAGCAGCAGTTTTTACCTTGAGTCATTATTTTTCCACTTGGACAGGGTTACCTGTTTCTCCTTTCTTCTTTGATGCTTCTTATTGTCCTTTTGAGAACTTCTATTTTTCTATACCATGTTTGGCCAGACAGTGCAACCTTTTCATGTTTTGCCATGTCTCCCATAGGACCTTGCCCTCATTTTCTCTGACTTCCTTCTTAAAAGGTTCGCCTAGCCTTCCTCTCTCCACTTCCACCTGCATATATGGTCACTTTGCTCCTTTTTTTGATGGGGCTTCTGCCCTCTGGAATGAGTCCCTCTTTAACTGTCTGATCCCATTTTCCTGTTCAGTTCAGGTTCTGGGGCAAATAAATCACCTAGCATCTATACTCCTCTAGGGAGCACAACCACCACCTAAATTCTGTCTTTCTTCCAAATTATTGGGTACTAGGCAACTGTTGTGGTTTTTTTTTGTCACTTTTTCCAGCAGTGAGCTGCTTCTATTGTCAAACATTTGGGTCTGTTGACCCTTCTTTTTTCCAGTGGGCTTGGTCTGGCTGTTCAGTTATGTTTCGCCCACCCTCCATTATTGCTTGGGGATACCCCATGGTCAGTGAATTGATTACTGTCATGCACTGTACGATAGAGAAGTAAACATCATCTTTTGGTGCGATTTAAGGGACCACTGTCATTAGACAAAGAGGATGTTTGTTATATTAAGAAACCAGTGAACTATGGTTGCATTATTTATGGCAGGAATTGTAATGGGTGTAAAAATATGTATAATTATCTAACATTTAAATGCATGCCTTTTTTTAATCCCTGTTTCTGTTTAAGGTTTCACACCACTCATCTTGGCTGCAACTGCTGGTCATGTTGGGGTCGTTGAAATCTTGTTGGACAACAATGCTGACATTGAGGCTCAGTCTGAGAGGACCAAAGACACACCATTATCGCTGGCCTGTTCTGGTGGCAGGCAAGAGGTAATCTACTAAATCTTGATGTATTGCTTGCTATGTAACAAAATGCTATTTGTAACAAAAATCCAGATTTATCCAAGCAGATTACAGACGTATTGAGGTTAAAGTTATTAAAACATAAGTACGCCACAATTATTTATACTCTAGTGCAAAACAAAATTGTATACTCCCCAGTAAACAATCAACAAATGAATAAATTGTCCATTATGCCAGAAAATAAGTGCAAATGTCCATCTACCACCATATGCCTTAATCGCTCCATCCATTGGTTATAAACTGGAGAACAAGTATAAAAAATAAACATTTAACTCAAAATAAATAAGACTTCAAACCGTCCTCTCAATGTGCTGAGTGTTCAATATTGCGTCTCCATCTCAAATAGCTCTTAATCACATCATGGAATCTCTGTGCTGTAAATGCAGCGAAATAATAGGTCCTTGTATTACTTAACTGCGGAGTACTCTGGATGGAGATGGACTGCCATATGGAGATTCATTGAGAGAGGCTCAATTGTATGGATGTAAACCCCTAAAGGGGAAGGTGCAGTAAACCTATTTCTAATAGGTCGAAATCGAATATGAGAGCATTATATTGTTGGTAGAGGAAACACTGAGAGTCCTCGGGTGTGATTAGGAGCTGTTTGAGGTGGAGCGGAGATATTAACCACTTGCCATCCTGAGGATTTACCCCCTTAATGACTAGGCCTCTTTTTGCTACTCGGTGCTGCACTAATTCAACTTATAATTGTGCGGTCATGCAATGCTGCACCCAAACAAAATTTACGTCCTTTTTTTTCACACAAATAGACCTTTCTTTTGGTGGTATTTGATCACCTGTGCACTTTTTATTTTTCACGCTATAAACAAAAAAAGTCCAAAAATTTTGAAGAAAAACTATTTTTTTTACTTTCAGCTATAAAAAATATATATATCAAAGCAGGTTACTCAAAATGTTTCTGGTTTTTGGTAAAAAAAAATCCCAATAAGTGTTAGATTGCTTTGTGTGAAAGTTATAGCGTCTACAAACTATGGTATAGATACTGCAATTTCCGCCATATTTTTTTTGCTATACAGTGCTGCGCTAGTTTAATGGACAATTGCGCGGTCATGCAATACGATACATAAATTAAATTTATGTCCTTTTTTTTTTTTTTTCACACATAGAGCTTTCTTTCGGTGGTATTTGATCGCCTGTGCGTTTTTTTATTTTTTGCGCTATAAAAAAAAAGCTGACAATTTTGAGAAAAAAAAAACAATATTTTGGACTTTTTGCTATAAAACGTGTCCAGTAAAAAAAATTAAAAAATCAAATTTTGTCAAAGTTTGGCCAAAATGCATTCTGTGACATGTCTTTGCTTAAAGAAAAAAAAAACCCAATATGTGTAAATTAATTGGTTTATGTGTAAGTTATAGCGTTTACAAATGGCGGGAAAGATACTGGGATTTTTAATTTTTTTTTTTTTATACTAATAATGGCGGCGATCAGCGACTTATGGCGGGACTGCGGCGGACATTCTGACACACGGGGGGGGGGGGGGGGGGGGGGTAAACTGACTTGGGGTCACTGACATCCCCAGTGACACCAATACAGTGATTAGTGCAAAAAAAAAAAAAAAAACACTGACCCTGTACTAGTGGCACTGGGGAGGAAGGGGTTAACCCTTTCAGTGAATAAAAAAGTTAACTGTGTGAGGGGAGTGTTTTTTACTAGGAGGCGGGGGTGTGTACTGCATGGGACACGCTAATCGAGAGAGAGAAGCTCTTCTCTCCCGATCAGCGTGTCAGGAGCTGTCAGGGAACTGACAGAAAGCAGAGCTACTGCAGCCCTGCTCTCTGTCAGTGTTTGCCGCTAATCAGCAGGACACATCCGGTAATGACCGGCTGTGACCCGGCTACTGACACCCGCGGCCGGGATCGGCGGTGCAGGTAGGGTGGCGGCGCGCCCCCTACCTGTTTTGCAAAAGCGCATTTTAAAACGCGCTTTTGCCTAGCCGTGCCGCTCTGCCGCCGTATTTAACAGTGGCTGGGCGGCATGTGGTTAACACACAGGACATTGAGTGGACTGTTTAATTTAAATTTTTATATTTTATTTTTTGCATTTGTTATCCAGTTTGAGTAGTGGCTGCAGTGATTAAGATGTATTGGCACATACAGTAGTAGATGGACATTTGCTTGCAGGTTTTGCAGCATGATGGACAAATTTTGGAGACTATACAATTTTGTTTTGTACTAGAGGGTTAAGCTTTCAATGCCCTGACCAGCAATGTGGGGGTGAGATTATGGCAGGGTTGTATCCTTTACTACCATGCCCAGCAATAGGAAGGGGGGTTAATGTTCACTGCCAGTAAACTACATTGCAGGAGGCTGGGTTTGGAGTTAAATCTCAGTACTAGTAACCACAGTTAATGGGGGGGGGGGGGGGGACATCACAGCTCAACTAGGAGATGGTCACATGGCTGGGTGTTCTTATTGTACTTCGTTTGAAATGGCAGGGAACTATGTTGTATGCTTTTTTTTTTATGGGGAAAAATACTTTCTATAAGTAATGTTTATATAAAATATAATTGCTTAATCTTTCTGACCTTTTAACTGTTTTTTTTTTTTTTTTTGTTTTTTTTTAGGTCGTAGAGTTGTTGTTGGCTAGAGGGGCAAATAAGGAGCATAGAAATGTTTCCGACTACACTCCTTTAAGCTTAGCTGCATCTGGTGGTTATGTCAACATTATCAAAATCTTACTTAATGCAGGTGCAGAAATCAACTCCAGGTGAGTTAACCTAGTATGCAGTCAACTAATTTTAAATATCTGCAATAAATTCTGGCTGTTTTAGAAAGTTTGATTTTTTTTTTTGCTATTCAAGTATGTAAATTTTTTTATTTTTTATTCTGGCATTTAGTAGCTCATAGTGGTCAACCGCACATCAGTATTTATTTTTGCATGCTTATTACTATTGTATATGATGGGTATATTAAGTGCCTCTCTTCTGTGATTCTACCAGCAAACATCTTCACGATGTTTATATTTTTATTCCTGCATTTTAAAATTTCCCTGCACATTTACTGATGCTGCTTTGCAGAGGCCCATCTCGATTGTCTGTTTTTGTATTTATTTTTATTTTTTTTTAATATGGCACCTCTGCGGTTTGCTATGCTGTGTAGGTTCCTATAGAGAAGGGATGAGCATTTTTAGGACATTGAACTTTGACCTTCAGTATGTGGTAACAAGTGAGCTAAGTAAATGTACCACAGCATGCAGAAAACTGCATTTACACCAAACAAGAAGTTAACCTCTCTGTCATTCCCTCCACTGGCTGCCGATTGCCCAACGCATTAAATTCAAACTACTAACACAGACATACAAAGCTATTCATAATGCTGCCCCAAACTACCTCACCGACCTGATACCCAAATACCACCCTACCCGTAATCTTCGCTCCTCACAAGACCACCTACTTTCTAGCTCCCTGGTCTCCACCTCCCCCGCCTGACTGCAGGACTTCCCCCATCCTCTGGAACTCACTACCCCAATCCATCAGACTGTCACATACCCTCCTCACCTTTTAGGCGCACCCTGAAAACCCATCTCTTCAGGGAAGCCTACCCCACCCTCACCTAACAGCCGATCTCCTCCACTCCTCCTACCACTCCATCCCCCACAGCTTCTGCCTCCTGTACAACTATCCCCTCCCTCCTAGATTGTAAGCTCGAAAGAGCAGGGCACTTGAACCCCTCGTGTTCTGTTTTGTTACTGTATTCTCATGTTCTGTCCCCCACTATAATGTACAGCGCTGAGCAAACCTTTTAGCGCTATATAAATACTGTATAATAATAATAATTAGTTCGTATCAGTATGTGCAGATGTTCTGATAATCATGTTATGTATAGTTTGTAGTTGTGTACGTGGGTCAGCCATATTTGCGATTAGATTGGTCCTTTTTAGTTGGTGCCACTGAAAGATATAAGGGTGTTGTGAAAGATGTGCTGACCCTGTAGAATACAGTACCTGAAATTCAGACGGTAAAATAGGTGTCTGTAACTGGGCAATTAACTTTTAAATGTAAATATTTCAATGTGTTAAACTAGAACTTGAAATGTATTTTACGCATGACACACTTTTACATACATTACACTTAATAACGCTATTAATAAGTAATTCAGTAGACATCTAAGGCTTGGTTCACATTAGTGCGATTTCAGATGCGACTTGAGTTGCACAGAATTGCATGACCAGGGAAATCGCTTTTGTTTTTAATGGTGCCTGTTCACATCAATTCGACTCTCAGCATGACACGTTTTGAAAAAGGTTATTGTACTACTTTGGTGCAATTCCAATGCAATTTTGGCTGCATAGATACACAAACCTTTTCAAAAGTTGCATCCAAGTAGCACTACATAATCGAACTGAAAGATCAAAATTGTATTGCGGTAGTATAGAAGTAGACTAAATGATTGCTGTTTAATACCTATTTCAATGCTTTACTTCAGGGGTCTTCATACATTCTAAACAAAGGGCTGCTTTGCTGTCTTTCAGACTTTAGGAGGGCCGGAGTGGCCAGTGGAAGGAATGGTGCCCAGTCACTGGCGTCAGTGGGAGGAATGGTGCCCAGTCACTGGCGTCGGTGGGAGGAATGGTGCCCAGTCACTGGCGTCGGTGGGAGGAATGGTGCCCAGTCACTGGCGTCGGCGGGAGGAATGGTGTCCAGTCACTGGCGTCGGCGGGAGGAATGGTGCCCAGTGACTGGCGTCGGCGGGAGGAGGAATGGTGCCCAGTGACTGGCGTCGTCGGGAGGAATGGTGCCCAGTGACTGGCGTCGGCGGGAGGAATGGTGCCCAGTGACTGGCGTCGGCGGGGAGGAATGGTGCCCAGTGACTGGCGTCGGCGGGAGGAATGGTGCCCAGTGACTGGCGTCGGCGGGGAGGAATGGTGCCCAGTGACTGGCGTCGGCGGGAGGGAATGGTGCCCAGTCACTGGCGTCGGTGGGAGGAATGGTGCCCAGTCACTGGCGTCGGTGGGAGGAATGGTGCCCAGTCACTGGCGTCGGTGGGAGGCATGGTGCCCAGTCACTGGCGTGGGAGGAATGGTGCCCAGTCACTGGCGTCGGTGGGAGGCATGGTGCCCCGTCACTGGCGTCGGTGGGAGGCATGGTGCCCCGTCACTGGCGTCGGTGGGAGGCATGGTGCCCCGTCACTGGCGTCGGTGGGAGGCATGGTGCCCCCGTCCGTCAAGGCTGGCGTCGGTGGGAGGCATGGTGCCCCGTCACTGGCGTCGGTGGGAGGCATGGTGCCCCGTCACTGGCGTCGGTGGGAGGCATGGTGCCCCGTCACTGGCGTCGGTGGGAGGCATGGTGCCCCGTCACTGGCGTCGGTGGGACTGGTGCCCCGTCACTGGCGTCGGTGGGAGGCATGGTGCCCCGTCACTGGCGTCGGTGGGAGGCATGGTGCCCCGTCACTGGCGTCGGTGGGAGGCATGGTGCCCCGTCACTGGCGTCGGTGGGAGGCATGGTGCCCCGTCACTGGCGTCGGTGGGAGGCATGGTGCCCCGTCACTGGCGTCGGTGGGAGGCATGGTGCCCCGTCACTGGCGTCGGTGGGAGGCATGGTGCCCCGTCACTGGCGTCGGTGGGAGGCATGGTGCCCCGTCACTGGCGTCGGTGGGAGGCATGGTGCCCCGTCACTGGCGTCGGTGGGAGGCATGGTGCCCCGTCGGTGGGAGGCATGGTGCCCCGTCACTGGCGTCAGTGGGAGGAATGGTACCCCAAGGGCCAGATAGAGACAGGCAAAGGGCCGCATTCGGCCCAACTGCCGCAAATTGGATACCACTGCTTTACTTCATATACAGTGTTAATAAAACATGAGTTGATTATCATTACAGAATAAAGTGAGAGTTGCCAAAATAAGTATTAACTTCTTAGCAGGAGCAAAGTCTATTTTAAGAATGAAAAAAAGATTTTCAATCATCCAATATGTGTTAGAACAGTTTACTTATTCTACAAAGTTAGAAAATTCTCATCTTGTGTAGAACACAGGCCAGATATTCTTAGACCCTGGGTTATAGGCTGCTACCTTCAGGGATTTGGACACACCTCTTCGGTGTACCCATAAAACCCTAACCCATTCTGAGTTCAGTTTTTTTAGTTTTCTGTAGGTGATGAACCCCTTAACTAGTTTTTACTTTGAATTCTTAAATCACCTCTGCACTGGCTTCTATAACAATAGCAGTGTATCCAGATCAGTACAACATCTGTAAAAGACGTCCTGTAGTGTTACTTTAGGCACTGACCTTGGTACTTGTGCAATGCATTTAGTTAGCTGCATGGTGCTATGTAGGTCAAGGGCCATTTTCCATTCCTATCTTTCCTAGACCTTGAAGACCCCTCCAGGGGTATGTCCACAGTGATGAGCTAAGCCTGGACCCATACAGGGATCAGTGACCTTGAAAGGTAAAACCGATTTAGTCAATTATTGGACCGTTACTCTAGCCCTATAGGACGTATGAGACTTAAGGTCTCCACTATTTGCAGTGTCTTCATTGGAAACTAAGGAGTCTATTTAACTTTACTCACTTATTGAGTGTTTAATCTTTCAAACTAGGCAGTAAAATTACCATCCATTCAGAACTTAGTCTAAGGTGGATGACTAGGTGTTATCATATCATAGGCCACTTCTGCCCTGAGTGCTTATAAGATACCCAGGCACTTCCTTCTGCTTTGTTGCCATAAGGACTTTGCTACAGGATGGTCAACAGCTGGCTTTCTGTGTGTCCTTCTTTGGACACGCTTACTCCATTTCGGCACCCTGCTCAGTGAGTACCCACACTGATGGCAATCAAGGAAACCAGGCGCAGGGTAAACGCAGTAAAATTTCAGGAAAACACTTGCTCTTCTGATGTGCTGCAAATTGCTTAAATCGCTCCATGACGGTTTCCCCTTGCATTAGAGCACAATTCTCCACCTTCTCTACCAGAATCTGAAGTGGTCTTGCCTCCTATAGAAATAAGAAAACTTTTAAATAGGACCTGTAGTTGGTGCTAGAGGAGGCCACAGAAGATTTCATAACCTTAAGCCACCCATAAACCAAATGCTATGGCTTCATGTAATATGCTTACCAATGTAGATATGCTTACTTCTGCTGTGCGTAAAAGCCTTGGTATAATTGCTCTTGATTTTTCTCAGTCTCATCAGGCCCATTTCGGTACCTGGGTACTAAGAGACCAGCAAAAAAAAAAAAAAAAGAATTACTTATTCAAGAACAAATAGAACAGGCATTTTAAGGTTTCTCCTGAAAAGGTTTTCACCAGCTCCCCCAAGATCATTGCCAATGTATACCCAGTGAAAAAAACAATTCACTAAAAAGTGGACTGTCCCAGTGGTAGACCCTGCTTTCTCATTTTTAAGCATCTAACTGAGCCTATAGAACAAGGGTCTTCAAACGTTCTAAGCAAAGGACCAGTGAAAGACTGTGGACAGTGAGAGTAGTAGATACCTGGGCATCAGTGGGCATAAACAATGCCCCATCATTGGTATTAATGGAAGGAAGAAGACCTTGTTGGTATCAATAGGAAGAATGGTGCCAATGGGATAAATGCTGTCCCATCATTGGTGTCAGTTGGGGGAATAGTGCCCCATGGGCCAGATAAATGCAAGCAAAGGGCCACATCTTGGAGATCACGGCTATAGATGTTCCTTCATTTAATGTTTCTGCAGACAGAATATTGAAGGCCCTTTTTAAAGGCTCGATTTGCTGTTGCAGGTCCAGTTCCTCAACCAGCTATTGCTGCAGTTTCAGGCCCTAAAACAAGTCATGACACAAATTTGTCTATAGCTCAGAATCTTATGGCTTAATGGTTGGTCAACTGAAGCTGCCTGTAAAAGGCCCATGTAACGCGTGCGTTTTTTGAAGGAAGGGCATCTCTTGGTGAGACGCGTTTATTAAGGTTGTTCCAATCCCTCTGAATGACAAGTTAATAGGCTTCTATTCAGACCTATTTACAGTACCAAAATGTAACAAGGGTAGCTGTCCTATTCTGGATCTAAAATCCCTAAACAAGACTTTCTTGTTTACAAGTTTTGCATTGAAGCCGCAATCATTGCCTTTCTGAGAAAAGGGTGATGCTTGACATTAATAGACGTTCAAGATGCCTACCTCCGTATTCCCGTTTACCCACCTTATCTGCGCTTTTTGTCCTTCACAGAAGTTTTCACCAAGGTACACAAACCCCTTCTTGCCTTCTTAAGATCTCTGAGCATCCAAGTAGATGACCTTCTTATGTAGGATTCATCTTCATTATAACTATGCAAATGTCCAAAGGACTATCCAGATTCTTCAGGCCTTTGGGTAATCAACTTAAAAAAAAAAAAAAAATCTGCCTTTCAGCCAAGCCTTTGGAATATCTATACTTAATCATAGACACTGGCCAGGCAAAGGTTTTTCTTCTAGCAAACCAGCTTTTGATCTGATGCTGGGTCCTTAAGGTCCAAAAGACAACGCTTTGTGAGATTTACCATGAGAGGCCATTGCCTCATTAGAAACTGTTCCCTTTGCTCAATTTCACCCAAGACTCCTACAACACAACATTCTGTTGGCTTTGGAACAAACATTCCATCTCCCAGTTGTTTAGTGGATTTGCAATCCAGCCTTGGTAATGAGAGCATCAATTCTCCCACCTTCATGGAAGCTGATAACAGATGAGTGTTTCAATCGCTCACATTTCAGGAAATCTGTTCACCTAGTGAAGCAAAGCTCCCCATCAGTAGCAATAAAAAACTGACTCTCTGCCACTGAACCCTCTTCTCCAGAGATACCCAATTAGAGTGCGATCAGGAAATACCAAAGCAGTGAGCTTATATATCAATCAGGGGGAACTAGGTGTCAGACAGCTATAAAGGAAGCAAATCTGATTATTTCCTAGATGAAAAGCACTGCTTGTCTCTGCTGTTCACATCCGGGTAGTGAACTATTGCAAGATGGATTTCTTTAGTCGTCACCAACTGGACCAAGTGTAGTATCATGTCACAAATAGCATGGTCATCGATTGCCCTGGCAATCCCATGGACTCCGTTCAAGCTAAAGAATATGTAAACCTAACTTTTCAATTACTGATACATGCCTGCTATACCATGTACTTGTATGAAAAAGTATCCTGTTCTTTGTATTGCTTCCTTTTGTGTGACATCCCTGGTATTCCTGGGACATATGGTCAGTTCGCTAACTGCGCTGGAATTAAGCCTGCTCTCCTTCAATGATCAGACTTGATTCTCTCTTCCCCCCCCCCCCCCCCCCCCCCCCCCCCCCAGCATCAACCACCCCCCCCCCCCCCCCCCCTCCCCCGCCACCCCCCCCCCCCCCCCCCCCACCCCTCCCCCCCCCCCTCCCCACCCAACCCACCCGCCCCACCCACCCCCCAACCCCCCCCCCCCCCCCCCGCCCCCCCACCCCCCCCCCCCCCCCCCCCCCCCCCCCCCACCCCCTCCACCCCCCCCCCCTTTTCCCCACAAAACCTTTCACTGTGGGAAGATCAGTGTGCTGCTGTTTTTCTCCTCCCCTGGCTCTTATGGAGCTAAGAACACAGGTTATGTGATCACTTATAAAGGGATAAATGGTATTTATGATGTTTTTTTTTTTTTTTTTATATCCATGCACAAATGTATTGTCTTTCATATCGATTTTAAATTGGGTTGATTTACAAGGTGAGGGTTTACAGTCACTTTACTATATGCCTCCATAAATGCGTGTTCCTTTCTTAAAAATCTATTACTGTACCTGGGTATCCTTTCTCACCTGCTGTGAACACAGGCATTTCAATCCCTTAGCCTACTTGCTACCTGATATTCTGGCTTTTCTGCATTCAACCAAAACACATTTCCAATTTCTCTTATGGCAGTTTTAAACTTGGCAGCAAACATTTATTGCAGCTTACAGATTCCTAGATGTGATGGCTGTATTTCTTTTTAGACTGTTTTTTCTTTTATCCCCTCGTGATCCAGCCAAGTAAGTTTGTTGTTTTTTCACAAAAAATCTATCCGACAGATGTTGCAGTTAGATGGTTGAGACAAACTATTTAACTTTGATGGGGAAGTTTTACAGTGATCAGATTCTATTTATGTAAAGCCTTTATTCCAAAAGTAAAAAAAGGTTTGCTGTAACTGCTTATAAAGTAATTAGCTGCCCAAATGTGCTCCATGATCTCCTTCATTCAGAGTGGAGGCACACTAATACAGAAGGTGTTACTGGCCAGATCACCAGGTGAAAACGGGGGGAGAAAAGCCTAAGATATAAAACTAATGCAGCCACCACTTCTGATTGGTAACCTGCTGTATATTTTTTGTTTTGGGTTTAATACCACTTTAAGTGACAGATTTAGGCGTTGTCACCCTATTCCAGAAAACTTTTATCCAAGTTTCCTCACGGATCAGAACCCCTTTACAGTACTTTGTTTTTCCTTGGGATCTGGGCCTGGTCCTCTCTGCTCTGCAGAAACCACCCTTTGAGCTCATTAGGGAAACTTCCGTTTGTGCTCTCTCCTGTAATGAAGAGTTTGTCCTACCTTCCTTTTTGCCCTGCTCCCAAGCATTCCAAGGAAAAATGACTCTGCATTGTTTGGACGTAAGGGTTGTCAGTCTATCTCAAAGCCACAGCCGCTATGTAAAAGCAGACTTTGTCCTGCCAGCAGAGTCTCGAAAGACACCCTGCTTCCATGCCTATGATTGTCAAGTGGATAATAACTCGTATATACTCTAAAGGATATGGTACCTCCAGTACCATGCTCACTCCACCAGATCAGTGGGAGTTTTCTGGGCATCCAACATCATGCCTCTGTTCCTCAGCTATGTAAGGCTGTCACCTAGTCTTCAGTACACACATTCTTCAAAATCTACCTGGTAGAAGTCAAGGTCTCTGCAGATGCAGTCTTTGGCCACAAGGTTCTTTGTGCCACTCTGAGTTGGATGATGATCTTTGACCTTTTTCCTTTTTTGTTGGGCCACGTTGGCACAGTTCTGTTGTCTCGTTGCCCATCATTCTGTTTCATTGCTTGAGGGCATCCAAGGGTCTTGGAATAGCCAGCCTGTGTTCTGTATTGTATGATTAAAATGCTCCTAAAGCCTTAAAGTTTTACCCTAATGCATTCAAACTTACTGTGCTGCAGGATCACCAAACCCCCAGTCCTCCTAATACTTACCTGAACACAATCTGGATACAGCGATGTGCACAAGAGCAGCAGCTCTCTCAGCTCTCTACCTTCCTACTGGGCAGATTGATAGCAGCAGGAGCATTCAGCCTCCACTGCTGTCAATCAGATCCTGTGGCAGTGGGGGCTGAGCTGCACCGTCTGTCAATAGACTCAGAAAGGGCAGCTCGAGAGCACGGGTCCACACGAATGCCCCCATAAAAAGCAGCTTTTTATGGGAGCACTTGCTAGAGAGGAGTGGTGCTGGTGACGAACCCCTGAAGTAGTGGATTGGTGCTGCTCTGTATAAAACCATTGCACAGAGAAGGTAAGTATGATGTTTATTATTTTAATAAAGAAAAACCGGGGCTTTAATATCACTTTGAAGTAAAAGGGTTTTTGACCTAACTGTAAATTCCATATCTTGGAGTACAGTACAGGGCTCCGGTCACCTTCCCCACTGATTTTGTTACTCTGCATTGCATGCTTAAAAAAATCAAAGCCAAAAAAAACCACACTAGGTCATACAGTGGATTAGGGTTGTAGGTGTACACAAAGGGGGAGCATGTCCAAAAGCTTTGCCTAGTTACAGCCACTTTGGATAGCAGCCTTTAACCCATGCTCTCTGTATATAAAGCAGTGTTTAGTACTGTTCTCTAACATGTAACATTTACTGGTAAATCAAAATTCTTTTTGTGAATTTAATTTTTTTTTTCCATCAACATTTCAATTTGTCAATTGTTTTAAAAAATTCAAGTTCAGATTGGTGGATTTTAAATTTAATTCTCGTGTATGTGTAACTCTTTGCCTTCAGAACTGGTAGCAAGTTGGGAATATCACCTTTGATGTTGGCTGCCATGAATGGTCATACTGCTGCTGTTAAGTTGCTGTTGGACATGGGCTCAGACATCAATGCACAGATAGAAACAAACCGAAACACAGCACTTACATTGGCCTGTTTCCAAGGCAGAACCGAAGTGGTCAGTCTTCTCCTTGACAGAAAAGCTAATGTGGAGCACAGAGCAAAGGTACGGAAAGTTCATCATTTTAGGATTGCCATTGACTAGCAGGTTTTTGGATTTATTATAGATGGTATCAATGACTCAATTGGCTCTTGTGAACTTCTGCAATTTATTAACCACTTGCCGACCGAGCTATAGCCGAATGACCGCTACAGCGTGGTTGTCCTGTTCTCGGAGGGCGTCTTATGACGTCCTCTCAGAATGCGCTCTCCCGGACACAGCTGATCACATGATTAGGTAAAAGGCCATTCACCGTGGCCTTTTACCACATGATCAGCTGTGTCCAATGACACAGCAGATCAGTGTAAATACAGTTGCCAGTTATCGGCAGCACTTTCCGCACGCCGTCAGTGTGAGGAAAGTACTGCCGATACTCAGCAAATGTCAGAGGACATCTGCACCGATCATCTAGGCACTGATGATCAGTGCCAACCACCAGTGCAGTGCCCTCAGCCAGTCCCGCCTATCAGTGCCCATCATTGCTGCATATCAGTTCCTCCTCATTGCCCACCAGTGCCACCTCATCACTGCAGCCTACCAGTGCAGCCTCATCAATGCACATCCGTTAAGGAAAGAAAAATTATCTGTTTTATAATAGAAACAAAGAAAACGTTTTTGTTTTTTTTTTTTCAAATCGTTTGCTCATTTTTTGTTTATACTGCAAAAAATAAAACACCCAGGGGCAAATACCACCAAAAGAGAGCTCTGTGTATGAAAAAAAAAATGATAAAAATGTCATATGAATGCAATGTTGCATGCAATTGTCATTCAAAGTGCGACAGGACTGAAAGCTTAAAATTGGCATGGGCACGAAGGCAGTAAAAGTGCCCAGTAGGCAAGTGGTTAATGCAAGACCAGTCACCTTTCTCTTAAAGCTTTGTAAGTTGCAGCAGTTTTTTTCACTATTTTTTTTTTTTTTCTAACATTCTCCCATTGTCAACTACTTTTAGATCTTTGTGTTTTAAGCAATAATTGATAGGTTTAGCAGATTACTTTAACTTTTGTGTCTTCTGCTCCCTTATTGTATGTTTTACAGACTGGTCTGACTCCCTTAATGGAAGCTGCTTCTGGTGGTTATGCAGAAGTGGGACGGGTTCTTCTTGATAAAGGTGCAGATGTCAATGCTCCTCCAGTGCCATCTTCGAGGGATACTGCTCTGACCATTGCAGCAGACAAGGGGCACTACAAATTCTGCGAGCTTCTAATTAGCAGGTACCTTTAGTGGCTACTGTGGTGGTGGGGGGGGGAGAGGAGGAATTTTGTGTTTTTTACATATGCATTTCCACTTTAAAGTGTTACTAAACCCAGGACTATATCTGGTCTCCCACAGTACACAGAACATGGAAGGGCAATTATTTTTTCTTCAGCAGTTAGAACAGTCTTGTGACTATCAGTGTTTTCAGCAGAGCACACGTTAAAGCTTGTAGGAGGAGCAGGGAGTAGCAGAGGTCTTCTGAATGCGGTGCTTGTTTTTTTTTTTTTCTGCCTAGTGGCTTGCTCCTGATGGTGGCTCTATAACCCTATGGTCAAGAATCTACGGGGCTGAACTTAGAGAACGGGATCTTCTAAGCATGTCCTGTGCGACTTTGTTTTTAAGATATATTGTACAATTGTACTCAATTTTTTTTTTTTTTATCTGTGGACTTTAGGTCTCCTGCATTTTGTTTTCATATCAATCTGTTGAGAGGTACCTAGGGCAATCTGTAATGTTCATGGTCAGACTTTTGCAGGCAAAGCTCTCCAGGAACCCCCCCCCCCCCCCCCCCCAAACCTAGCATGTTTTTTGTTATCCTCCCATGTGCAACCCTGGATGTTGGTAACTCTTTTTCCATGGAGTCTTCCAGGAGAGCAGGATTCCCATCCTTGTGTTATCACTTTTTAAGTGTTTTGCTTAAGGCTAGGTTCTTTGATTCTGTTTTATAACTGACCAGTTTGGCAGAAGGACATCCGTTTATTGTTTTTAGTGAGGTGTTCCCTGTTGAAGGAAGACTGTTTCTCTCATGTGCTGTCCTGAAAAATGCTTGAAAGCAGTTACTGGTAAATCTTTCTTTTGGGTTTTTTGTTTTTTTTTTAATAAAACAATATCCCTCTCACGCTGCCTGGATGTGTGGAGCTCAGAGCGCTGCATGTACAGTTGTAGTACAGAGCGGGAACATGCACGTAGAGGGGACTCCACTCCATAGGTTTCGAGGGCATATTGGGAACATACGATGAGTTTTCCGTCAACGCAGCCAGACAGCATTTTCTAACGTAAATGCAGAGGAGAAGTTTTTTCTTTTTAAAGAAGAAAAAAAAATAAGTGTAAGTTTTATGTTGTTGTCTATTTTATGAAACAAAGTGACTTTATTACTCTAACTTAGAACTTCTGGTATAAATGCTAACAAATTTATGACCAGGTTACTTGTGGAGTGAGTTCAGACATAACACACTGCCATAAATGACTGTTGGTATTGTGCAATTCTTCAGTTTGTTCTCTTTTAATGGCCTTGCACCCAGATCAGATTCCTATTGTTTAATATGAAACTGAATGGTCCACTTCAATGATTAAAGCTCTTTAACCCCTTGACGCCGACGTAACACAAATATGCGGCCTCACGGACCAGGGCTTTTTTCCGTGGGGCCGCATATTTGCGTACCTGTCTTTGTGTTGGGAGCGCGCCCCTCAGCGCGCTCCCAGCACCGAGACCGCGGTGTCACTGAGAGCACCGGGTCCCGTTCTAACGATCGGGACCCGGGACTCCCGGTCCCGGGTCACATGATCGCTGTGATAGCCTCTGATTGGCTATCACAGTGATCAGTCACTGTGCAGCCCGGCCCCCTTGTTTTTTTTTTTCTCTCTCTCTCTCTCTCTATGAATGGAGAAGAGAGATACATTGTATCTCTCGAACTCCTGTCAGAGAGAAGAAAAAAAAAAGTTTGTAAAAAAAAAAAAAAAAAAAGATAAATATTAAAAAAATAAAAGAAAAAATAAAAAAAAATACCTAGATCAAGGTTGGATCTAGTTCAGTGCCAGGGTTAGTGTTTAGGTCAAGGTCAAGGTCAGGATTTAAAAAAAAATTGGTGTCAGTTAGTGTTAATGTCAGTGTCAGTTAGCGTTAGTGTGTTTTAGGTAAAAAAAAAAAAAAAAAAAAAAAAAAAAAAAAAGACAAAAACAAAATGCGCACTATGGTTTCTGGGCTGTACTACGGGTACAAACAACAAATAACATACACATATATGGTATCGCTGCGATCGTCAAGAGCTGGAGAATTTATTTTGGGTTGCTCTTTGGTAGGTTATGGTCATAACAAGAAACGCATAGCTAAATAAAAAAAAAAGGATTTTTTTTTTACTATTTTTGGCCAGTTTTCCTTTGATAATAAAAAAAAATCAGGCGATATCCATTACCATTTACCACCAAATGAAAGCCCAATTTGTACGGTTTTTGCTATCACATGTGTCAACGGTGCAGAATTGTGCTTAGGCATTTAGATTTGTTTTACCCTTAGGTGTGAAGGGGTTAAATGCCGTTTTTTCCAACTTTTGTTACTATTTCAACTGTATATACGACAGTGCTTAAAACCGGTTTCTTATTACAGGGGAGCTCATATTGATGTAAGAAACAAAAAGGGGAACACTCCGCTTTGGCTAGCAGCAAATGGAGGTCATTTGGATGTTGTTCAACTACTTGTGCAAGCTGGAGCAGATGTCGATGCAGCAGACAATAGAAAGATAACGCCCCTCATGGCAGCTTTTAGAAAGGTACTTTTTCTATGTGTGTGTGTAACAACTTTTATGTTTTAATATTTCAAAAGTGCACATGCACAGATTATGGTGTGCGTGCCTTTTACATATATGCATTATTTATCAGTTTGCTTTCCATTTAGCTGCATTTTCTTTGTGTTGTAGGGTCATGTTAAAGTGGTGCGTTACCTTGTGAAAGAGGTAAACCAGTTTCCCTCAGACTCTGAGTGCATGAGGTATATTGCCACCATTACAGATAAGGTAAATTGACCTGAATAAATCATTGAAGAGTAAACATTTGATGACCACTTCAATCATGATTTTTTTTTTTTTCTTCTTTCAATTGTATTTGTAATCTGATGTCATACTTGCCAAAAAGCATACTTGAGGTTGGATAACACTGGATGAATAAACGACTGTTCTTCATTATGGATTTAGCATAATATCAGCCCTTAAATTACATGGGATGAAACTAATTTTAAACACAACTTGAACAAAATTAGGTATTGTAGACTATATATCCATGAATGAATTATTCAGGTGCATTGGGTTATGCTTCTGCCTTTGCAATATTGGACACTGGCAAACTGTCCTTAGCTGGTGGACCTGTTCATCCTTGGAGAAGTTTTACCTTTTTTCAACCACTTCTTTTCTTGTTAGTCACTTCTATCAAGACTGCTTCTTACCCTGGTTTCTCCAGCAGTCTCCAGATCAGTAAACGCTCTACATTTACCTTGGGGGACCATTAGGGCCCTGGATAAGGGGGTATCACCAGTCGTCCTGTACAGGTCCCAGGTCAACAGGGGGGCCCAAACAGCTGGGTGAATCGGAGGGGGGGGGGGGGGGGTTGCAATTACTGGAACTAATCTCCTGTGTGGTTCTCTGTAGCAGCTGAAAGCTGGCTGCTTCTCCTCTGGGATCGGTTCCAGTAATTGCCCCCACCCCACAGGACCGATTACCCGCACAATGTGTCTTCCTTCCCTGCTGCTCAGGCCCCCCTGTGTGCCCCCATCTTTGCAGTGCTGCCAGATTCCCTCCTCTCCCACCCACTGGCAGCTGCAAGCATACAATAGAATCCTTCAGGATGGAGACTGGTAGAACAGTCCAGTAAATGTCACATTTACCTGCCTTTTTCTTTCCTGCATGAACAGAACGAGCTATCGGTACCTATCACTCACTGTGTTCAGAACTGAAGCATAGTAAATTGTGTGTGGTGTTTTTTTTTTTTTGTTTTTTTTTTTCTCTAGGAGGCCTGTCAGGTTGGCTTAAAGGGGCCTTGAGGTTTCTAATAGCCCTGGGGACCATACCCAGAGCCTTCTGTGTAGGGTCAATCTATATTGTTTGCTTCAGGCACTGGATCCTGAGTTTAGGATCTCGCCTTGATGATGTGTTATGGCAATGTGTGTAGTTAGCCGCTGGGTGCTATACAGATCCAGGATGTTGTTCCATCTCCAAGGTTCCCAGACCCTGAAGATCTTATCAGGTTATGCCTACTGCGACAGGCAAAGTTTCGACTGCCTAACAGGCCCAGCGACATGGACAAAGGTTAGACAGAGTTTCCATGTAATTTGGACTGTTCTAACTGTGCATAGCCTGCAGTGCTTGGGAGACATAATGGATTCTTAAGCATAGATATGGGGAGTTATTCACTTTGTGGTCTTACCTGTTGTACAAATCTGTAATGCCTTTTGGCATTGTAAGTATTTCTTAAGTAATTTAAAATTTGGCTTTCTTTTCCTATCTGCACATAGCCTCAGGATGGTGATGTAGTTGCAGCATGCCTCCTGGCTGACACACTTCCACCCACCATATCTAATGAAAATGTGTACACCATGCTTGCTGCACTTTTTGCTTCCTTGTGCTATAGAGACACAGTCAAGGAATATTGTCAGTGCTTGGGTTACACACCCATTCTGTGAGTACATCGATCCCCTCACTTTAGCAATAATGGATCACAGGTGCCAGGGAGCTAGGACGAAAAGGCCAAATAACACATGCTGTGCCAATGGCCTACAGGTAACTCCAAACCCCACTCTGGTGGATAGCGGTTTCCTTGTTCTTAAGCAGTGTTTGAAAACACTACTTCCCTCCTCCTGACTCTAGTACCATTTCAGGTGCACACTAGGCCTATCTGACAAAAGCAGTTTATTCTGCCACTGTCTGAATTCTCCAGAAAAATTTTGGCACTTCTAGAACATACGGTTTCCCGAAAAGAGAAAAATGATGAGTGAACATTCTATTTAAACCCCTGTGTGTCTATTTCTTTTCGATAACTGCTGTCCACCGTTGACAGACTGATCCAGTCACAATGGGATGGTGATAACAATTCCCTTAGAGGAAAGGTTCTGCGGATTTTATTGAAACCTATTCTTAGTCACAAACTAAATAGGGGCATCTGCCCCATTCTAGACTTAAAGGCTCTGAACAGATTTCTTTGGGTACCAAAACTCTGGATGCAAGATCTGTCATTACTTCTCTGACAAGGGGAATTTCTGGAATGAATAGACCTATCTACTTATTCCCATCTTCCCCCCACCAACGCTTTCAGGCCTTAGACAGTTCGTCTATTGGCCGATTTTTTATCGGAAAGAAAATCGGCCAATTTTCGCACTGTTATGGGGCAATGACATTGGCTGATTTTCGCGGTTCTACTCATTTTTTTTTTTTTTATTGGTCATGCTGGAAAATTTGTGAAAACCGGCTGATTTTTGCAATCATTGGTGGCAATAGAACGACCGATGTTTCGTTTTTCGGACGAAAAATCGGCTAATAAAACGAACCATCTATGGCCTGCATTACTCTTCTGTAGACTGTGGACATTCATCTCACAGGGTACTTTGATGACCACCTACTGAAGGACTCTTTCACCTTGACATTGTCAGCCAAAAGACTGCACAGTTCCTTCAAAATTTTGGATGGTTAAAGAGTAACTCCACTTTTGTTAAGGAAAATAAACATTCCCCTCTGGATGATCTATGTACTTTGCAAGTATTTTAAGAAACTTTGTTGCCGATTCCTACCTTTTTTGTTAATTTGAAGAAGTAGCTGGCTGTCTGTGCCCATGTGCAAAGTGAATATGTATGGCAGTGACTTCATAATAATCAGCTGCTGCACCTGCAAGGCTCTGAGGAAAATGGCAGGGTCTGCATCCCTTTAACCGTGATTTACCTTTGGGGCTATCTCATCAAAAATTTTCGTTGTGGGGGATGGTCACAATCTGACTTGCATCTTAGTGCAGACTTCTGGGAAAATCAGTCAATCACACAAGAACTAGGCATCCCTAGTGGTTGGCATTATATATTCAACTCTGGCACACAACAAAAGCCCAACTAGTTCTTAGAGAGGTGCATCTCCAAATTTGAACGTGCATTGATTTCCCCTGAACATACGCGCCTGGTTTCTGCGTTTTACTCCGTACTTAGGGATAGGCCTTCTGCCTCGCTTTCCAAATTACAAGCTAAGTGGGTGACTGATGACCCAGACCTCACGCCTTACTAATTCCTTTTTTGACACTGTCCTTTCGGCCAGAGAGAAACTTATTCAACCAAGATATATCCACAGACTTTACTACACCCCTAAGTGGCTCTTCCTTGTGCACAAACTGGAGTGTCCTCTGTCACAAATTCGAGGCTGAACAGGACAATTTTATACACATGGTTTGGGCCTGTCAATTTCAGGCCTTTTTGGTCAGAGGTTACAGAGTTTATTGCCTCTAATTTTGAGCTCCCCAACATATACAATCCCAAATGGTGTTTATTGGGAGTATTTGAGGACATAGAATACTCAGCTAGGACTAAAAGTTTTCTTGGATTGCTACTCTTTTATGCTAGGAAAACAATTGCTGTACAGATAAAGGTTGATGACCTCCATATGGGCCTATGGAAAAAACTGATTAATCAAAACCTTCAGCTTTATAAATTAACATATGAGGGGATGCCCTAAGAAATTTCTTAAAATATGGGAGCCATGGGTAGATTCTCAGGATACCAGTGAGTCCTTGCTTCACTTACTCTCTGACCTGCCACCTCAAGTTCTTACATAGTCCTTATGTTCTGATGTTGTATGTGTAAACCTATCAAAGCCTTTGATGATTAAATATGCCTTGACTGAACATTGTAATATGGGCAAGCACCAGTTACTTTACAGTAATCTATGCCCATTATTATGTAGATACGTCTCTTGCCAATACATTTCAATCTATGACATCACACTTTCATGTATATTGTAAATTGACATGTTAATTTATTTGAATAAAACAGTGATTGTGCAGTACAGAGCAGTAAAACAAAAGTGGAAAATGTTTCATTTGAGCGCAGTAATTTACTCGCATGTTCTCTAGTTTACACGAGTATAAGTGAGTATATTACAATACGACCAGTGAAGAATTTTACTTGTCTATATGCTTACACACCTCTACTTGCCTATACTCAACATTACTCAGGTTCTTTACACACAGTTTTTGCACCCTTGCACACAGGCGTCACAAGTTCCTAAAAAAAAAAAAAATCAGTAAATGATGACTCTCCTGTGCAAGAGGCCTAATAATGGATATTAAAAAAAAAAAAAAAAAAATCAGTCATTGTCCAATTTAACAATGGCCTGACAGCATAATGTAAATGAATATTAGTTATAAAAACATGCATAAGTAATACAGCTATAAACGTTCACGTGGTATTTTTAAGCGAACAAGATGTGATTTAACTGCAGACTGGCAGCTTTAATTTGAGGGTATTTACATCCAAATTAGGTGAACGTTGTAGGAATTACAGCAGTTGGCATATGTGCCTCCCACTTGTTAAGGGCCAAAAGTAATGGGACAGAATAATAATCATAAATCAAACTTTAACTTTTTAATACTTGGTTGCAAATCCTTTGCAGTCAATTACAGCCTGAAGTCTAGAATGCATAGACATCACCAGACGATGGGTTTCATCCCTGGTGATGCTCTGCCAGGCCTCTACTGCAATGGTCTTCAGTTACTGCTTTTTCTTGGGGCATTTTCCCTTCAGTTTTGTCTTCAGCAAGTGAAATGCATGCTCAATAGGATTCAGGTCAGGTGATTGACTTGGCCATTGCATAACATTCCACTTCTTTCCCTTAAACTCTTTTGGTTGCTTTTGTAGTATGCTTTGGGTCATTGTCCATCTGCACTGTGAAGCGGCGTCCAATGAGTTGTGAAGCATTTGGCTGAATATGAGCAGATAATATTGCCCAAAACACTTCAGAATTCATCCTGCTGCTTTTGTCAGCAGTCACATCAA